CATGTCTGACTTAATCAGTTATAAAAATCATCTAAACAGCGATGCCTTTTTTTGTATCTTTTTGTCTCTACCAGTCTACAGTCGATAACAGAAAAAAGCACTCACGGGTGCAACAATTGAATAAACACTAAACTAAGAAGTGTGAAAGTGAAGTAAATACGCAAATTTTTTTTCAAGGAAACTCTCACTTAACCTCCATCTACAAACTATAAAAAATGATTATCATTACTAACAGAGCATTATAATTGTAAGATGAACATTACATCTTAAAGTTAGGAGCTACAAAAAGGTAAGCCTAAGGTTCTCGAAATCTAGACCACAAATTACCACTGAGCAAAACCAATGATGACTAAAACAGCTCATACCCTCTTATCTTTAGCTTCCCGTCTTCATTTAACAATGCAGCAGTAGTATATATAATTAGACTATTTTTACTCTCCTTCTTTTCTCCTTTTTCTTCCTTTCTTTTCTTCCCTTTTTCTCTCCTTTTTTTCTTTTTTACTATAAATTCTAAATGTTGCATATTATCGCGCTGTATCAATAAGTCTTCTAGTCATTCTATATATTTATATTAAGAACTATTCTCTTAAACCCTAATTTATTATTGCCTCACATTTGTATCTTGGACCTCTCTATTTACTTAAATGGGACAGTGACCAACACGGAAGCTACGGTTACTTTGGTCACTGTGCACACATATACAAACCTGCATGATATCTACTTCTCATTATCTTCTTCACCTAGTTATATAAGTCGTCTTATACTGTATTAATTTACTGTATTATACTGTATTAATTATACTGTATTAATCATACTGTATTAATTATACTGTATTAATTATACTGTATTAATTATACTGTATTAATTTGAATAGTGCGAAATAAACTTGGAAACTTGGAGGCTAGGAAACTTGAGCAATAAAAAAGTAGAACATTGAAGGTTAACAATTCTGGTATCATGCCTCAGTCATGCACAAAAGGAGTTGCTTCGGATGACTCCTCGTCTTCGTCATTTCCGGTTTCGTCTGTATCCACGGCCGTTAGTTCATAACCATTACTCTCATGCACACCAACCTCTTCATCACAAAGGTCTACAGCATCACCTTGGTCCTCCATATGTTTTCCAATATCGTCTTGTTTATCCTCTGTGTTCTCAAGTTGGCAAGTCTTAGGTTCTTCATCACCTCTTGCCTCCTTTACAGGCTGTACTGCTGCAGCATCTTGATTATTAGCATTAGTTTCAGGATTCCTTGTTCCACCCTCTTCGACATCCGGAGAGGAAGCGGAATCAACATGGCTTTCTTCTTCAATCATGGGAGGGTACTCGAAAGAGTCGACATCTTCTTCCCCGATTACGGGGAAGGCATCAGGTTTGTTCACCTCAATGGCAAGGCGGTGTACTACAAAATTAGGATCTTTTTCAGTCACTCCAAAATTCCTTATTGTGGCTTCTAAACCTTCTTCCCCAATCATAGGGGAGCACGCTGAATTGCTGGAATCTTTTTCCTCAATCACAAGAGAGCATGCTGAACAGTCAGGATTTTCCTCGTCAGTCACAGGGGCGCATACCAGAGTACCAAGACCGTTATCGTCCATCACCAAAGAAGATGGCAAAAGATCGAAATCTTTTTCCTCAATCACAAGAGGGCACTCAGGGTCGTAAATACCTTCTTCCTCAAGCCCAAGAGGGCTCTCAGAGTCACCGAAATCTTCCTCCCCGTTCTCGCTGAGGTATGGTAAAGTATCACTCTCGTGAAGGTACGCTGAGGCATCGATATCTTTTTCATCACTCTTAAGAGAGTGCGCTGCCCCACTTTCTTCACCTACTTTGATTCCGAGAGGGAAAGCTCTAGCACCATCTTCTATCGCAGCCACAAACGGATGCGCAGTAGCGCCGTGTTCACCCACTTTACGGTCGGGATTTGCTGCAGCTGCTCTTTCGTCTGTCACGTTAGCTCTGAAGGGGAAAGCTGTTACACCGCCGTCTATTGCAACCACAAAAGGATGTGCAGTACCACCGTGTTCACCCACTTCCCGGTCGGGATTTGCTGCAGCTGCTCCTTCGTCGCCTACGCTAATTGTGAGGGGGAAAGCTGTAGCGCCTTCGTCTATTTCAACCACAAAAGGATCTGCAATAGCACCGTGTTCACCCACCTCACGGTTGGGATTTGCGGCAGCTGCTCCTTGCTCATCTGGTCCTCCATCTTCTCGGACTGCAACAGCTCCACGATCATCGATAAACTTGTACTTATCGTAATCATACTTGTCCATGTCCACGATATCCACATATGTCTGTGATAAAGATCAGAAGGTAATCAGGAGTTAAGTATATTGAATAATCAGTGAGTTAATGAATGTCAACAATGGAATCAGGAACAATCCAAAAATGAATCATTTAATAGACAATGAAGATTGCAAAGACAGAGACCGATTTGCGTGTATAAATTGATAAAGAAACGAAAGCAGGTAAGGTCGACCTCTTTCGTTCAAATTTTCCAAATTATCACTTCAATAGGTGTTCCATACTCGCCATTAATTAACAAATAAAGAAGCCTTGACTATCTTCTGGTCTTTTGTAAAGCACTTAGAAACCGGCCAGAGAAATCTACGAGGAAACGCGAGACGTAGTCGAGTGTTGTTTCTCGCTACTTCTTTAACATTTGTTTAATAATGAAGATTCCGTCAAATTCCCAAGGAACTACTTACTATTCAAAGCAACTAATGATTTTCGAAGCAAACAAAAGTGTCGTTAGTATGTTCTATACTCCCACAAAACATGCTACCATGAGCCAATTGGAAACCGTGCTAGAATGACTCAAATAATCCGATTGTTTAAATAAGGCTTCGGGCGTCAAAAATGTCAAACCGTTAAATTTCATAATCTGTAAGAGTTCACAAAGTTAAATAGTTCGGCAACTCTAATCTAAAAACATTTTTGCCAGAGGTTTTCTATTTTTGATACAGAATCTGAAAGTGAAATGTACGGTGAAATCAGCCCAAATCGTGTCTTATAAAAACATGCAAGTTTTTTCAAATGACAATTAGTAAGCAAACTTCCCGAGGTGTATCTTTTATGATTGAACGAGAGCCAAATTCTTAGGAACTTGAAGATCGCTCGGGTGACAGCACCGTAACATACGGCTGTTTTGCCTGATGTGGCCTTCCACTCAACCTATCAGAAAGGACATTAGAATAGCCCCATAGTTGTTTTTTCTGAGATATCTGAGGCATGCCTCACTGTGGTGACAGGAGATCAGCAGTTGCTTCACACGATCATGATCTGTTTGAATTTTAGCAGTTCTGCTAGTTTGGTTATATTTTCAAGTTTTATTATTCCTTTTTTTTGGTTCTGTTTGTTTTTGAATCCGAATATATACATACTATGCGAGTGTTGCCTGTGTTTCAGTTTTATCACCGTATAAAACTCAACAATCTGACTCAGCAGGAAAACATTCAAACAGTCCTTTTCGTTTCTCTTGGAGGATTTTTGTCTGTGCTGAAGTAGTGATAACGTTAATTACGGCGCTTGGCTTGTTTGCAAACGTTTGTTTGGTTCTTTTGTAGCTAGTTGCCGGGTCGTTTGTTCCGAAATTTCACTTTCAATTAACGAAAAATAAAGTAGAGAGAAGTCTGGGAAATGGTCGAAGTACAAATTGGCCGATGGCGGACAGCTTTAGCTCAGCTCCGTGTTTAGTAATGTAATAGAACACGCTCTTTCAGCCATTGACAGAGCGCATTATATCCAAGCTTCAATATAGTATAATTANTTTCTAGTCGAGCATGCAAACACAAGACAACGAAGAGAAACAAAGACCAACATAAACTACCCAAAAAACCCAGAACCGAAGACGTATTTTCTGAATAAGATGTTGTATGGCAAACCTTTGTTTTAAGATAGGTATCCATTGTTTTGTAGAGGTTCACAAAATGTGGCCGGGCAGCGATTTCATACTTCCAGCAGCTTAACATCACCGCGTATCTACAAAAAAAAAACAATGAAATTTCCTACTATAAGGGTTACGTAACCGCAACTAGCTACAATTATACCTGAAATGCTAAGTTTACAAAAAGAAAATCGCTTGGTTTACCTTGTTACATTGCAGTTGAAAAAGAGCTTGGAATAAAAAAACCAATATCATTCTGAACTTGAATATATCAACAAAGTTCAAATGGTAAATTGGCCACCGTAACGATTCCAAAAGCTGAGGTTTCGAGCGTTAGCCCTTCGTCGGAGCAAATTGAGGAATTGCGGGTTGTGTATGCTTTTAAAGGCAGAAAATGAAGCTACGTTATTGGTGGGAACATGGCAAACGAGAAAAACAAGAGTAAATTAGTGGATTGAAAAGCTATTGCATAACTTGCGCTTATTGCAAAGAGATATACATCGGCGAAACAGGCAGAAGACTAGGTGACCGATTCCGAGAACATCTTCGAGACATGGAAAGGAATGACAAGGACACATCGAAGCCAGTCGCTAGACATTTTAATTTACCTAATCATTCTAAGCAACATATGGCAATCTGCGCTCATTCTGAACTTGACTCACCAACTTTGAACTGACTGAGGTGGGTGATGTGAGTCATTTCTAAAATGTATTTTTTTGTCTGTTTTTTGTGCTGTTTTTTGCTTTGTTTTTGTTTTGTTTTGTTTTGTTTTGTTCTGCTCTGTTCTGTTTTGTTTTGTTTTGTTTTTGTTTTGTTTTGTTTCGATTTAGTTTTGCTTTTGTTTAGTTTCGTTTAGTTTAGTTTTGTTTTGTTGTTTTGTTTTATTGATAGCTCAAATTTGTTAGGAAGGCGATCTATTCCGTCTAAACAGATTTAACGGTTCACGAGGTATTTTCACCATCATCACCACCATTATCGCTTTTTTCATCATCTGATAAAATCAATGCAAGCTGCAACAAACCCGACCACGATAGCTATCGTATCGCACTTTATTTCTGTAACATTACATTTTTGTTTTGTACAATCCATATTCAGTATAATACAGAAGAAGCCGAACTTACAAACTGTCGTCTAGATGTCCAGGCTTTGGCAAACGGTAACCTTGATAGATTTTTCTTATTGTCGTGGTTTCAGACCATCCTTCGTACGGAATACCTCCTGTGGACAAATAAAAGAGCAGAACTGTTTTGTGGTAAAGAATTCCGTCTTAATAAGCGCGATCAGAATGATTTCAACGTTAAAACGAGTTATCGAAGAATATTCCTGTTTACATCAAATAAGAGATAGGAGAAGAAACGTTTTCTAACAATGTGATAAAATATTTTATTTATTAGCGACATTGAGTATTGCCATTACTTCTCTATCATGCAATGCTTCTGTAGCTGCTCATGGTATAACCTTTCAAATGGCAATTGTGCAAGCAATTTCGGCGAGCATATTTTCTGAAAGTAAACTAAGAAATAAGTGAATTGAGTACCGATTGTGAAGATTTCAAACAGGACTATGCCATAAGACCATCTGTCAAGAAATAGAAGGATGACGACTCATGTCAGCTAGGGTAGAAATATGATCTTTAACTTAGATACTTCAAATGTTTTAGAATATTTTAATCAAGATATAAACAATGCCTTAAACATAAAAACTCCATAGTTATTTATTTGATCATTCATTTATCTTTTTATCTCTTCTAATTTCTTAATGAGGCTTTAATTATTGCCCGTAAAACTCAATACTCATCCACATCTACTCTCAGATCTCCCGGCTCGACGTATCCTAATGACCCTCTGATCAATAAAGCACTGATTATTCAATTCGTTAAGTAAGCATCGTAAACAGGTTGACACTTATAATGTATATCATGACGAATGCAGTACGTACACATCACTTTTGGTTGACAGCCGTTCCACATGGCCAATGAGAATCTCGGGTGCACTCCATTTGACTGGGATACATCCCTGGGTGAGTATATAGAATACTATAAGCATATGCAATTAAAGACTCTGTAATACAATTTCTGAGATATTTCTCATAAAGATTTAGACCCCGCGAAAGATTCAAGAGCAACACACGCGTTTCTACAAATTTCTTTACAAACAAACGACGTGCTCCTTTTTCTTTACATCTCCTGTGTTGCACTACCCTTCCACATGTTCGAGTTGGTATTCTTGCATTTAAAAGAACATTTATCAACTCTGATTTTCTTATTCCCTACGTTCACTTCTTAGGTAGAGTGTACAATTTTTTTTTGTTTGTATGAAAGTTTCGAAATGCTTAGAATGACATTCCGATTAAGGAAACATGTTTGGCGGTAAGACTGTATATAAGGAAGTAAGGTTCGTCAGTGTAGTTCAAGTTTTGGTTTGAGTCTCAAAATAGAGGCCTAGTTGACGTCATTTACTTGCCTACGCTCATTTTTCGTTTTAGTTTTTTCACATTATAATATTTCATACCCACTATCCCAAAAGAAATTTCTCGTCTATACCTTAGGTACACACGTAAAGAAGGTAACCTCACATTATGGTATATGATTCATGTGATAACAGTCAACTAAAAACTCCCTGAACAAGTGATCAGAAAATTCTGAAAATTACCTTCTTAGCATTTCCTGTACCGTATTTGAAATCCTGATAAGAGAGCCCAAAATCAGTCAACTTGCATACACGATGCTCATCGAGGAGGATGTTGCGAGCTGCAAGATCGCGATGAATTATCTGAAATTGAAAAAAGAATGTGATGGACATCCATCACACAGGAATCTCGTATGTGGGAGATTAACGTCTTTTAACCCTAACCCTGCAAGAGACGGAACCTCCATTTATTCGTCTTTATCCGAGATGATAAGAGTATTTAACCATTTCTTTATATAGAAAGGTAGCATATTCTTCTCACTTATTTTAAGACCTTGAGTGTTGGTCCGGCTGGGGCTCGAACCCGCAACCTCCCGCTCAACAGTCCAGCCCTTTATCCATTGAGCAAACTGGGAGATGTATGGTGATCGATTTGCGAAATGGAAACCAAGAAGAGTTTAAGCACTTACCCCTCTAGACGCGAGAAAAGTCATACCATGCGCGATCTGTTTAGCGAACAGCACCATGTCATATGTTGTCAAGTGGTCGACTCCTCCGACTCCACGATGATAGTGGTCGAATACCCCCCTGGATTTTCTGAGGTAACCCAGCAAGTCACCACGCCACAGGTACTCCATGATAAGTATTGGCTGAACTAAATAAGTTTAAACAAGAATTTGCAAATCATCATAAGAGAAGCAGAGCAGACGTTCCAAAATGTTCTAAATTTTACGTGCCTATTTTATCTATATAGTAGGTTCTATCTTTAATGAACAAAAGTAGACACAGAGAGGGAAAAGAGAAGGAAGGTAACACGCGGACAGAAATATGAAGACAGGCAGACACATACGGCAGATAGAGGACTACTTATACAGACAGACAGACGAGCAAGCGAACGGAAAGGATGACAAAAAGATGACATATAAATAGACAGAGACTCGCCATCCTAAATCGGAGCTTTAATCACATTTTACATTTTAGAGCGCTAAATGTTTGGAAAACAAATAAATAAATACCTAAAAAAATTAAAAAAAAATGGAAGTATTCCCTGAATTAGCCCAGCATCTTAGCAATAGAACTGTTTATACTAGTTGTTGAATTGTTTTCAGAGATGTTTTTATCCTTACTGTGACTCAGCTGATTACAATCATAACAATAGCTGATTACCTCCAACTGTAACACAGCCAATGAACTTAACAACATTCTCATGCCCCATCCTTCCAAAGAGTTTTAATAACTCGATCTCTCTCAGCAGGGCCTTCCTTCCTTGCTCTCCAGAGATTGCTAAGAAACCACAAAAACAAAAATTGCAATGGTTAACACGCTCATTTGAGGGTGTTGTATTTTGGCGTTAAATAATCAGCACAAGGTACTGTGCACAAGGTTTACATATCTAAATCAAAACTAAAAATCTCATTCATATTTGCTAAGAAAAATGTACGAGTTGGCGTTTCTCTTCATTTGTACGATATTTCATCCGTGTGATATTTCCTCACCTAGATTTATCGTCATTGAAAAAAGAGGTTTTCAGCTATCAAGATGTCTTGTATTCTTAACTATTGTAGTTTTTTTACTCCAGGGCCCCTCTGGATATTAGCCTCGTTGCTGAATGGGCCACCCTGGCTAAATAAAGTCCACTTACTTACTTACTTACTTAGGTCTTTACCACTTAAATGCTACGCAATCTTTTTTTTCTATTTTATTTTATCATATAAAGTAACTTCTAATGAGTTTTTGTTTTATTTTGTGGGTTTTCGTTTTTGTTTTGTTTCTGTTCGATGGTTTTGTTTTCATTCATCTGTTTTGCTTCGTTTTACGACTTATAACTTGTAATCAGTCCGCAATTTAATTTACGTAATAAGGTTATACACTTTTATTTCATAGATACTGAGATTTAGACACGACAAAAAGCCCGCGTAAAACTAGTACGTTAAATCCATTAGCCAATGGCAAACGCGAACGATGAATTTTCACTAGTTAAAAAATGTCGTTTGCCCAATCACAAACGCGAACAACGAAAATTCACTGGTGCACAATCGTGGCCCGCGAGTTTCACTCCGACTCTTGAATCCAACATGGCTAGTTTAAGGTTTGCTTCTTTGGAAGGTTCCATTGAGACTTTTATTGAAGAAGAAGAAAACCAGAACAAAGTGAAGAAAACGAAACGAGACGTTGCTTTGTTTACAGAGTTCCTTCAAACAAAAGCAGAAGCACCAAGTGAAATAGCTGAAATTCCTCCCGCCGAGCTGAATGAACTTTTGAGTGAATTCATTTTAAGAGTTCGCACAAAAGAAGGACAAGATTACGAAAAAGCATCAGTGGAAGAGAATCAGAGTATCCAGCGACTCCGATGATGACTAAGTTATGTACAATTTAAGTTTGCCTTGAATTTTCATGAAAGTTGCGGACTGTTTTTGACTGATATCGGCTAAGGTTTGCATTGTGTTATTCAGCGTAAAAGCGTATGACGCTGGGTGTTTTCATGATTTAGTGACATTCTGATCTACGACATATATGACCTGTAAATCTAAGTCAAGTTTTTTTCTCTAAAGTTGTCATTTACGTCTATATTTGGATTTGTTATCTTCAGTAGACATTTCAAAAGACAAAGAGAACTTTACATTTTAGTTTATAATAGCAATTGAATGGGTTTTATAAACATGCGCGCCTAAACTGATAAAATAGACCAGCTATTTTTCTTTTCAAAAATCTCAATATCTGTAAAATAAACAAATTACACCATGGAAAATGCTTTTACGATTTTATTCACTCGTCGAAGAGTATCAGAAAACTCACTCGTTCGCTACGCTCACTCGTTCTTTTTCTGATACTTCTCAACTCGTGAATAAAAATCGTACGCGCGCATTTTCCATGCAGTAGACTCTATTTAAACCAGTTAGTTAAGTTAGGTCATATGGTTCAAATTGTTGTCTCCCCAAAACCGCACGCTCTCTTGACCTCTTTCAAGTCAAATAAAAAAAATTTCCGTCAAAATTCTCTCAGATGGCAATGGTGCAGAATATTCGACGCCAGGGGGAATTTGCCTTCGAATATTGAACAACGGCCACCGCCGCATGAGGAGAGCACGTGATTGGAGGTGGGATAAAAATAAGGTGAGACTTTATTATTGCCAGTAGTAGTTTCCACTTTTATACGCTTCCATAACATAACATAGAACACAACGCGAGCTCTTATTGTTAAGGATAGTTCAATCAAGCTTTCAATAATGAGAGATCTTAAAAATGTACTTACGCAGGTAACACTTGGCAGCAACTGTACGATTTCCACGTCTGCCACGGGACCGACCCAGTAGCGCTCGCCACACAGAGCCAAATGCCCCTCTGCCAATGGGCTCGCGAAAGTTCAGGCGATCAACTGCAATCTCCCATTCATCGGTGTTTGCGTTTAGCTGCCCCATCTCGACTTCATCTTGCTCTTTACTGAACAAATGCAGATGAAAACACAACTTTCATTAAACTATGTTTGTTACCTATCTGTCTTTACATCTCTTAGTCTAGCTCTTTTTTATATAGAAAAAAAGGCATCTTTGCGAGGGTCTATGAGATAATATATATTAAGCGCGTCAAAAAATTCTCGTTTGCCGATGAAAAATTGTTCAAATAGGTGAAATTTGGATACTAGTTTACTGAATGAGCCCGTGCAACATCATCCCAGTACCAGAGATTTGATTTTTTTAAAAAAAAT